GGGATCGGTCCACATTTAAAAATTAGCAGTTTTTCTTGAATTTCGCAATTTCATTTCAATATCTTTATAAAATACAATTGCCTGAGATTTGTTTTCTGTGGGTAACTTGTTTCTTGGAGATTTCAACCATGGGTTTAAAAAAATATTCACAAATTAATTATATGTTTTAATTCATACTCATAAAGTATTTTTCTTATTAAAAAGTTAAAAATGTCTATCTGACTCTTCTTGACATGTTTTATTAGATATCAATATTGTGTATATATTGACAGCATATTTGTACTCTTAAGGAGGTTGGATCCTGCCATCAAAAGTAATGAGAATTTTTTATCAAATATAGTTATAGAATTTATACACATAGCTCAATTAAAAAATCAAAAAAGAAAATGGGGGTCAATGCGCTTTTTTTGGAGCCACAGAGCATTTAGTTTGACCTTTTTGCACTGTAAATACGTCTTATACATAAATCAATTTTTAAAGTTTTTCCCCCAATATTTTTTATTCAAATAAATTATGGGAACAAACACGGTCTTATTTCATCTTGAATAGACACATTAAAATTTGTGACAACGAAAATTTTTTCAAGTTACTCCACATGTTCAATTATTTGACCTTTTTGCACTAAAAAATTTTCATTTTTCTGGCAATAAAAATCTAACAAGCAAAAATATCATTTGAAAGTAATGACATTTTACTGAATTTAAGAAGAATGGTTAAAAGTATCTTATATACATGTATTCAGAAAAGAAAATAAAAAGTGGGGGTCTGTGATGTTAATTTTTAGATATTACTAAAATAGTGCTAATTTTAAGCTCAAAATAAGGATATTTTTTCTTGATTTTCACAATATATTTGCTATATTTATCAAATATGATGATAGAATTCATGACAGTTTATTTAATATATAATTTAGGACCAGCATAAAACAGTTCACTGCACAAAATAACTCTGTGCAGACTGCATGTAAAAATAGGTATCCAAACTTAACATACTTTAAATACTTCGAAAGAGAAAAAAAATGGTCATTTTCTTCTAGAAAACCTTCCGCCACAAAATATAGTTCCTCACTTAATGCTTTTGGTATGGAATTTAAACATGGAGTTTTAACTAAATATAGTTTAGATGGCATTGTAGAATCCAAAATTATTGTAAGAATTAAAACTTTATGCAGAATTTTTGAAATATAGGTTAAGATATAAATCTGCTCAAAAGCTCAGGAGCGAACCTCATTAAGCATGTTATTAGCAAATGAAACAAATTTTACATTTTCTCTGGAAAAATAAAAAAAAAATCATATTAAATATTTAAGAGCTACCATCAATCTCTCCATGCTGAAACCAGACTTTTACAGAGATGTCTTAAAGATCGATTAAATGAAATTTTGTATAGACTTCCTCCTTAAGAATGATCCACTAGCTTCAGAATGGGTTTGGCTCTCTCTTTTGATAATAATACTTTATACTTTAGCCCATTGCCCCTACGACCTTAGATATTACAAAATAATGATTTCTTTACTATCGTGTTTTATTGGAATTATTATCAGACCTTAATATATGCATATACATGTGCATTCAACAGGATGAGTGGAGTATGAAAGATGAATGTATGCAAAAAATAACCTCATGTTACATGAATGTATAATATTACCATGTTAAATTAACTTATAGATTCCAAGGCTCCCAGCCTTGACTATAAGGACACCTATATATATACTGGGGTAATAAAAAGATATTTAATGGGGAAAAAAGCCCCAGAAAAGAAATCTTGATATTATAAAATTATTATTTTAATATATAAACAGATTTTTATTAATTTATTATCTTGATTGATGTACAAGTGTTGTTCATTGTGTAACTTACCTAGAAACGACCCCCAATTAGTCCCAAAGATCCAGGAATAGAATTTCTGAAATCAACTTGCACATTTACTTAACAAAACCTATCATATCCAAAAGATGAATTGGCTACTGTTTAAAATGTAGGAGGAGTTTGAGAATTAAGAAGAAAGTGGGTCAGACGGATGGACGGACAGGATAACAACAATTTACCCCAACTTTTTTGAGAAAGTGCAGGTGTAAAAATGTGTGCCAAGAATACTTTTATCCTTGTACACTATAAGTACATGTATTCTGTTGATCGTAAAATATGCATTGGCGGTTTGTGCAGGGATTGAACTCACAAAATAAAATTCCTACCCTCTAAGCTATACATGTATGTGTAACTCTAAACAGATAAGGTCATTGTGACGTGGCTCTCTCTAATCTCTGAATTTTAAATATACATGTATACCTACGAAAATTATTCGATACCAATGAATGCTTTATCATTGGGGGGGGGGGGGGGCAGTTTTGCCGAGTTTTGTGTATGCGTGCCTTCCATGTACTTGAGTTCGAAATCTGATAGAGTACCTGTTTATGTACAGAAAACATTTTCAAAAAATCACACATCTAAAAATATATATATATAATAAATATCATCTATCTCAAAATTCTCCGTAGTAAACATAAATTAAAGTAATATTTGTACTTAATTGCGACGTATTTTTTGCATCAATTACCTCCGCTCATCTAACCAAAGCACGTGAACAATTTTATACTCTTTGACTAACAGTTATGCACGAGGAAACTGTCTCTCCAAACATGCCAAATACCGGCCTTGAAATGACATTTAGAAGACCGCACAATCTGTTTTAGTTATATAATGAATGACCAGGTATAAGGCCATGGGGTAAAGATGGTAAAACAAAGAAATGTTACATAAAGCTGCTATTGTATCAGCCCCGGGCGACCCCATTCATAACAGAGCAGGTCTTTCATAAAAGTTTACCTAAACTGTACACTGCCCCTTCCTAATTTTCAAGAAATGTATTTTGTTTGTGTTTATTTTTAAAATAAATTAATATTATTTTTAATAACGCTTACATTGTAAGGCAATTTGCATCTGTTCTCAACCATTCTATAAATATATAGATATACTGTGTACATTGTATTACTGTACATATCATTGAAGGTGTGCTCTTCTGGTCACGGGTGAGTTCTTAATTGTTTTGATATTTTAAAATATCTGCGTATTCTTAATATATTCGTATTTTTAAAATATTTGCGTACTTTTAGTATATATTTACGCTGGTGCGTGTTTAAAATTTTGTTTATTTATTTATTTTTGGGTGTTGGTTTTTAGTGATCAGTTGATCACAGTTGATTCCATCCGTAGCACACTGTTGTCTAAGTGGGAACGATATATTTCTATACCTTAGTTAATGCTGCAGGAAAAAAATAAATGTTTTATGAATGCTGGAGGCAAATTCGTTTATGAAATAATTTGTGTTCATTTCTCGTGCTGCTTTGAGAAGGAGTAAACATAATTCTATATTTGGATATTTTACGAGAAAAGTACATCAATGGTAACCTTATAACAAAACTTTATGATAATCGTGATGACTTCAACTTTTCTATCGTCAACTTTGAATTCCCTTATTTATGTAGCAATATACAATTATCACCTGCATACGGAGTTTGTCTCCGAGTTGATTCGATATGCAAGAGCATGCTCTACGCACGAACAGTTTCTAAAACGAGACAGGCTATCGACAAATACCATGAAGTCGAATCTTCATACAAATTGTCAGGCCATTATTTTCACACTGAATTGTCTACAGATTTTTTTTCCGTTTGCCCTTTCACGACACGGTAGGTGTGACAGGTCGACAGGGGATGCCTACTCCTCCGTGTCACCTGATCCCACCTCTGATGTTTTAGAGGTCCGTGTTTGCTCTGCTCGCAATTTGTTTCAATGGACTTTCGAGCTTGATTACTGTTCGTTATCTCCGTATTTCATTCTAAGTTTTTCTCCTTCCCATTGGGTCAGGACAGGCAGTGACCGCAACGAGGCGGACCGCCATCCTGGACCAATTTTCCTGTTAAAATGGATTCTTATATGTTAATTCTGTGTGAGTTTTTTTTTTTTTTTTTTTTTTGGGGGGGGGGGGACTTTATGAGAGCTAAATGTTTTAATTCATTAATCAGAAATATAGCAAGCAACCTAATAAAACCATTCAGATGTGTTCCCTACACATTTAGAGTCTAATGAAAGATAAAAGATTAAATTACATTAAAGTATGCGCAGTTCATTTAAATTCAGGTAAGCATTTTTGCCTATGGACATTTCAGTCTTTTTTTTTTTAGATACTAAGATGATTTTTACTTAGCTTCTATATTTAGAAATAATCTAGATTCTCATATTTTCCGACATCTTATTTTCACTACAAACAGAAAGCAGGCTGGGGTTCGTGTTTGGTTGTAATAAGACTTAATGAAAGTTACTAAGTATATACTATAATTTTCATCATTATTTTTTTCTTATCCGCGATTATTCAATTACACTATATATCTCTGTATATGTCATGATATTCAGTTGACCTTAATTGCTGTGTGGTATGTTATGACTTACAGTTATTTAGGTCTTGACCTGCATTAAATAAAATTAAAACCTTTGATCTTTATGCATTCTTAAATCAGTTTTTTTCTGTTAAAAAGGAGACATTGATTGTATCAACACACCTAGGCTTTTATTTCTACGGTGCTAATTTATATTCAGTACGATAATTACCACCGATTTCTTGATACAAGTGTAGCACACAATGTTAATTAACTCCAATGTATACCGGTAGATCGAGCCCCCCCCCCCTCTCCTCCCGATAAATCCAATGCCTTATTTGTGTAAATAGATTAAGAAAAAAAATCATTTTCGTTCTTTTTTTTATAATTAAAATTATATTTATATATTTCTTAAATTTATTACAGAAACGCAGTCTCCAAATAGAGGGCAAGCATGAAAAAGTCAAGTGAACTCTCCGGTTGGAGGAGGTAAGAAATTATATTGAACTCGTACAAAAAGTAGAAGACATGGGAATCATGTGGGATTTCACAACATTGGGGTATCGAGGATAAGGTCTGACATCATCTTTAAATATTGAAGCCGTGTAAAGGTTGTGATTAGTAAGGAGTAGATCATTATCCTCCGCTCAATAATCGCTGTCATTCTACCGTCATTCAGCACACACCATGGCCTGTTGTTGACCTAATTAAGAAATCGACATTGACAATGCTTCAAATTAAACTTCAGCGCAAAATTTAGAACGAAGCTGGAATGCTACAGAGGTGAGTGGCGATAAGGACATTATCCTTAACCGATATATTGTATAGACTTAATAATGTCAGAATTACTGGAGCGCGAGAAGGATACAATTTTTGACCCGCCCTGTAGAATTTCTCGCCAGCTGATTGGTTTATACATCACCAGACATCATTACTGGGTTATTCTGTCTAGGTCGTGTATTCATAGACATAGGTTGACCTACATACACTGTTTGTTGACATTTTTTTTTTCAATACACCTTTAAATTGTTGTTTTCTTTTAAGGCAGTAAGAGTGACGTAGGATTTATGATGTATAGATCTGTATTCTCTCTATTAGTATTATGACCAGGCTCCTGATTTCTAACCCTGCGTCAGGTGAATGCAAACATTTAACAATCCTGGAATTCCAGCTAAGGAAAAGATAATTAATCTTACACTAATATCAGTGAATTCAAGTACTAATCCACCTACAGGCAGATAAAGAAAATTTCAATTTATGATTGTTTAATGGTTTGGGCCATTGATATTAGGCTAGCCTGGGTAGCTCAATGGTTAGAACACCTGACTATTGATGCAGAGGTCTAAGGTTCCATTCCTGGTCTAACCATTTTCTCCTTTTCTGTTACATATTTTGGCACTGTTGACCACACCTGGACTTGCAGGAGAAAGTCCTTCACTGGGGGCAATAAGAAATTTGGTTGTGTCTTTAAAAGGGCGAGACAATTTAGGGAGGGAGGAATGTAAGGGTTCAGGCATACATTTTCTTTCCTGTTACAGTTGTAAGCCCCCTTTTTAAGGAAATATAGGAAAAATCTTTTCAAGAGCAGCAAAGCCAAGGCTAGTCATGTTTATACGGAAGCATCCGCAGGAACATGAGGAAGTGTAGATTTTTTGTTTGTTTAAGTCATGACCCCAAGGTAAGAGTGGGGACTGTACACAGTGGGCATTCAAATTTTTACATAGGAATATATGGGGAAAAAATCTTTAAAAATCTTCTCCGGAACAGCAAAGCCATGTTAAGTCATGTATACCGTATAACGGGTATTTTCTGCGGTTGGAAATTTTTGCAATTTGACTCCTGAAAGATAGCAAATTAATTTCTGCGTTTTCAATTTCTGCGGTTGCATTATACCGCAAAATTTCTTTTACAGAATATGATCACCAAATTCTGAGGATTTTGGAGAATATTGCCATGTTTACCTTTTATTGAAAGACATATTGTCAATGATCAAATGGGCTTGTAAAAAATTTCAATTAATATTTAAAGAAATATTTTGCGATTGTAATTTTTGCAGATTTGTCCTATCCACAAAATTCCACAAAAATTGGACAATCGCAGAAAATACCCGTTATAAGGTATATTCAAGCATCCTCAGGTAGGGTAAATTCATGTTTATTCAAATCTTGAGACCCAGGGTTAGGGTGGGACCCCAGTGCGTAATCAAATTTTTACATATTAGGATAATGGATATAGAAAAAGTCTTTAAAAATCCTCTTTTCAAGAACAGCAGAGCCATGATAAGTCATATTTTCACTGAAGCACCCTCAGGTAGTGTAGATTCATGTTTAGATTATGACCCCTGGGGAGGGGGGGGGGGGGGTAATGTGGAGCATCAATGAAGGATCAAAGTTTTACACAGGAATATTTATATAGGTAAACTTTTTAAAGATGTATCCCCAGGTAGTGTAGATTCAATTTTGTGCAAATCACGACCCTAGGGGTTAGGGTGGGGCCACAATATATAATCCAAGTTTTACATAGAGACACATGTATATAGGGAGAAAATCTGCAGATGAAGAAAAGCAGGGCCATAGAGATTTAGACGAGAACTGTGGCCCATGGGCCTCTTGTATTTTGATAATATGTAAGCATCCAAAGTTTAGCATTGGAATCTCTGGGCTGGAAATAATTGATGGCCTGCTGGTTTGAGGCCAGTGAAGTTTTAATCTGGGTTAGTACATTGTAGAGGACATACATGCCTTTTGGGTCAGTGGGTTTTTTTATGCATAACAAAATTCTTTCATGGTCAGGCTAGTTAACTTGACAGGGTTGTGTGTCCAAGTTTGTTGTTTTTGTTTTGTTAATTTGTACTGTTAAGTATCACAATATAAAAAAAATATTACTATTATTATAATGGTTTTCATGGTTTTAGGCCAGTCTTTTTAAAATCTATTGGCCCAGTGGGACAGTGAAAGTACCGAGTTGACCAGTAAAAATTTAAGTGATCGCCCAAGTGAACAGTGGAAAAAAAAAACTATTTCTAGCCCTGAATCTCTTTAAGGTATTCAATGTATAAAGAAGGGATTTTGTACAATTTTTGAATCGTTTTAAACTAGTTAAAAATACATTGCTAGATAACGATGAAAGTGAAATGAGCCAAATTCACATGACTGATAACAAATAAGAAGCTGATCATTTTGCACCTGAAAAGTTTTTGAAGAGTTATCTGCCCTTGATGAAAAGAAGAAAATTTTAATTTTGTCAAAATATCTGTGGTAAATGATTCGTTTTATTTCACATTTTAATAAAAAGAGAGTCTATGCATATTTTCCCCAAGAGATTTGTATGAAATTCACATTACCTTTTACAATATCTTAATAAAACAAGTGCTGCCCATAGACGTCAATGTAAAATTTTGGGTGCAATTAATTGGACAGTAGTTAAAATTTTGTAAATTCCTTTGGTGGGGTATGTTTATTTCATAACACCTTCAAAATGTTACCATGATTAATCATTTCGGACCATTCATTTATTAAGTACAAAATATGGTCGTTATACATTGAATACCTTAACATGTCTAAAAATCTTCCTCTCAAGAGCAGCTGGGCCATAATAAGATGTAAACATTCTGAAGTTGTGTGGATTCAAGTTTTTTTTCTTTTACTTAGGCCTAGATAAATAAATTGTGTGTTTCCGGTTCCCCAACTGACTCTAAAATATATGAGCCGACCCAGAAAAATTTATCCTCCGATATATTCCGGAAATAAACAATTCTGGTTTCACTATTGGAAATCTTAATTTCGATCAATTCGGTGTTGGAGAAAATGCATATCATATACACATTAAAAAGAAATGCCATTAGTAAGCTGCCCTTTAGGGAGAAAGAAAGGAACTCTTTATTTTTCTCATATTGTTTATTGTCAAAGTTGAATTATAAATAATAAAATGTTAAAATAAAATAAAATTGTTTTCCCTAACTACCTACCCAGTTTTTTTTCTCAGATTTGAATAGGAAACACACTGTTTATTTATCTTGGCTTTATTTATTCAAGTGAAACAATATATTATCTGCAAAAATTGTTTTATCTTCCCTTTGATTGAAAAATCATAGTTACTTTCATTGGTTTAAACGTGACATGTGACTGCCGGCTATATTTCTATTTCTGGCAGGTGAGAATGAATATCTGACAATATGATCAATAAATCTACCTTTCAAGGGATGACTTGATATCATTTCAAATGATAGAAAAATAAATCTGGAATCGGTCAGGGATAGACATTAAATTTCAGATTCACTTGCCCTTTGGGCAAGGGATCTCAAATTTTTACTTGTCCGAATGCAAAACTTGGTTGCCCAAATAGGAAAATAATTTATTGCCGTAAATATTATCATGATAAGAAAAAGTGTGAACAGATACACTACAGTAACTATAAATCTGGCAAGTTGAGGTACCTGAAAAAATTTAGATGGTACGTTTGGACATAAATGTATACCACCACTTTCCTTGTCAATTTAATCTGTAAACACACACTGCAATGCATCAATAACCATCTGTTTTCTTTTAAATAAAAAATCATTTCGGGTAGGATGGTTTTGTTTTGTGAATTTTGATTGATGCAACGCTAAGGCCAAATAAAAAAATATGTGTGGTTCCGGTTACCCGACCTTCCCTATTTTATACCCTCGACCCTAAACTTTTTTGGGGCAATTTTCATATTTTATCCGGAATTTTCCCCAATTTCCATCAGTGGCTCCGGTTTAAGTTTTAGTTCAGCAATGACGGCCTCCTTGCAAAACATAGTGCAAGTGTTTAATAGTATTAAGTCCAAAGCAAGCTAGCATGTAGGTGTCCCCTACCAATATTTACTTGTATATTATCACATCACATCTAAATGCCATTTGCAAAGCAGTGATAGGTATTATTTAGAAAAATTAAGAAAATCATTTTGTTAAAAAAAAAAAAAAAAAAAAAAAATTCCCTACCTACCTACCCTAATTTTTTTGGAAGTGTAACTGGAACCACACATATATTTTTGTTTGGCCTAAGGAAGATAGTTGCTATGAAACATACATATCTTGATCAGGATAGGTCATGTTATATTCTGTCAGTGTGAATGAATTAAGTAGTTAACAAAGTTGTAATACGTAGAGCGTATTTAACATGAAATAAAAAAGAATAACGAACCCAATTTTTAATGAATGATGTAATCTAGAAATCCAAGGGAGCAATGTCAGTCACGTATCTGGCGGAATTCAGGTGTTCAATCTATTGTTTTATTTATAATTAATGTAAAATAGATACCAATATACATTTCTATCAGAAAAATTCACTTGACCAATTGGACAAGTAAGTTGACAGTTTCACTTGCCCGAACTGAGAATTTACTTGTCCCGGGCAATTAGACAACCGTTAATGTTGATCCCTGTCGGTATTTATCTTCACCATGAAAACATTAAAAATATTGGTTATAAATTTGGATTTTGAAGCAAAACTCTAAAATTTTATTAAATGGTAAATTAAATGGTAAATTTTATGTACATAAGTAAGATAAAAATTTTCTGGAAATTATTTTTAAAAAAATGTATTTTTATTCAAAGCCAGGGGCAGGGCAGTCAACATGGAAGGATGAACCCACGGACGAAGTCGGAAGGCTACGGTGACAAAGTGATTCAACAACTGAACAACCTCAGAGCAAGAAATGAACTCTGTGACTTCAAAGTCTCCGCAGGAGAAAAGTCATTTCAGGTAAACAGTCTGACCCCTGTATATGTTCTAAAGGATTGGGAATTTTATTGGGGAGGGGGGGGGGGCACAGAAATCATGATTATTTGAAAAAAAAGTCATGCACTTTGACTTCAATGTCTGTTGAGGAAAAAAAAACATTTCAGGTTCAATTAAAACTTTCTATCTTCAAGCTCTTAGCTGTTTGCAGTGGAAAAGAAATTCCAATGCATTTCAATAGAGTATGTGCTTTGACATTAAATTTTGACACAAAATAAATTCCAATACTTTAATAGTACCCGACCCATGGGATTCATAATAGGGCCTTGGGTAGAGCTAACTTGGTCATTTATTGGAATACATAACACCTTTAATTTAAAGAAGGATATTTTAAAGAATTTAAAGTATCCTTTTTTACCCATGGCTATCTAGCAGGCAAAATGTTTGCATAATTACAGTGATTATGAAACCCTTTTCTAAAATTGGGAAACTCATGCCTCGGCCCCTGAATTCATCGTTCAGGCCTTAGGTTGGAACTTGATTGGTCATGTATTGAAAATACATTAGATTTGTATATCTATGAGAATCTTTGACTGGACAAATTGATTATATGATTGTTAACCCTTTATCAGTGAAGAAAGTGAAGAAAATGAACAGTGAACAATCTAAAAAAGCTCTTGAGTATCGAATAAGTTGGGAGACTGAAACTCCATATGCAGTTGATGGCATGTCATGTACACTACTACATAATTAAGGAAATGGAAAAGCTGAAGTCATCTCTTTTGTCACACAATTTAGCTTTTTAGTTGGCCCTTATAGTCTATACTCAGTGAAACATTCAGATATGAAACATGTGGCAGATTCTGTGGTATCTTTTATTTCCAGTTCACTGGGATATAGCGAGTTGACATATGAATGGAAGTAACTGTTGTTATTTGAAAAAATGTCGTTGATATCTCTGAATTCTGATTTCAAGTTAGAGAACACAGCAGGTGTTTTCTTTTTCTCATGTAGAAGTTTTTGAATGAATTCTGCTTCGTAGGAATATAAAAACAGGTCAGCTAATAAAGGAGCACAATAAGTGTCCATTGGAATTCCAACAGTTTGTTGGAAGACCTTTCTCCAAAGCCTACATACATGTTGTCAATGAGGAACTCAGAATTGTAAATTCATGTTCCCAGGGTCCATTGTTCAAGAGTTCACCCAGAATGAGGACTAAGTTGGTCATGAATTGAAAATACATTACTCATTTGAAAATAAAGGACATCTAACAGGCAAAATGTTTGCCTGGCTATAATCAACAATTAGCCCTCTGTCAAAGTTGTGAAAGTCACTGTCATGACCTCCTGGCCCATGTTTAAAGCCTCTCAATATAGGGGCTACTTGGGGCTACTTGGGTCATATAATGTGTTATAGGAAGTACATTACCTCATTAAAAGTCTTCATTTAATATACTCATGGGCATCTACTTTTAGCAGGCAAATTGTTTGCATGATGAGCAGCTAGCCCTCTACAAAATTAGTAAAGACGTGTAAATTGTCCCCCAGGTCCAGGGATCCAGAGCGGGGCTAAGTTGGTCAAGCATTGAAATTTATTACACAGGGAACCTTATCTTCTTACTTCAGAACATTCATTTTCCATAATCATTTTAAGGACATCAGCAAACTAAAAAATTGTCACATAAGTCCAAAGTCGTCATAGCTTGAGAAACACATGATACTCAGGTGACCTTCTAGTCCCGTAAGCCTCTTTAATGTTTAATTATAAAATGTGATTGGTGAAAATAGTCAGATTAGGTTTGATTCAAATTAAGTAAGGCAAATACTTCCAGTTTTAGGTAATAGGTGCATAGTACGTCATGGTCATTCATAAAGGTCAACGGTAGAGCATATGTAATTCACAGGGATGGGTTATAGATATTCATGTATATTGCAAAGGATGTATGGTAAAATTCTGAATATGTCAATAATAAATCAACTTCATATCTTTACATTATTTTTAGATATTCGGAAGTGAATGCAGTAGCTCTTTTGCAGTAAAATGCAGGCGAATAAATGAATGAAAATAAACGCCACCTGCTGCTATGATCATTATTCTTAATCTGTATGCACTTTTCCACCTGGTAAATCTATTTTTAGGTACACAAAGCTGTGTTAGCCGCTACGAGTGATTACTTCCGGGTCATGTTCGGAGGTGCAATGGCGGAGAGTAAGCAGGACTCGGTGGATCTAAAAGGTGTGACCGCTGACGGATTACAGATGATCATCGATTTCATTTATAGCGGGGAGCTACCCTTACAATATGACAATCTGACGGAAGCCATCAATACAGCCAGTCACCTGCAGGTGTCCGCTGCCCTCGACATGTGCTGTGAATACATCATCTCGCTTATGACGTTCGAGAATGCGCAGGATTTTCTGACAATCGCCAACACTTACTCGCTAGATAGAGTTCTAGAGCATTGGGATAGCATGATTCTCGCTAATTTCTGTGAATTCTCAGAAACCCAGTGTTTTCTGAAGCTGGATGCCACTAGCCTAGTAAAGTATCTCTCCTCTAACGCGCTGCGGGCAAGCTCAGAGTACAAAATTTTTCAGTGTTTAGACAAATGGTTTAAGTACAATCCAGCGCGGATTTCTAATGACTGTATAACCGTACTCACACACGTTCGTTTTCCTCTTATGTCGGAACGCGAACTTGGGTTAGTGCAAGAAAGCGACTTAATGAAACGTTGTCTGGGTGCTTTACACTTAGTGACCAAGGGGTTTAAATACCACCTGGACTGTAGGGAGGGGCACCCGGTGATAGAGGAGCGGTCTAGTGTCCGAAGTGCTGTCCCGACATTGGTCTTAGTGCAACCTCACAACAGTACATCCTACGTTCCATTTCAAATCACTTCACACGATCACGTGACCGGAATATTCTACCGACTGTTTTCTGACCTGAACGGCAGTCGGGATTGCCGACTGACGGTTATAGACAATTTTATTTATATTTGTAGAGTTGTAGATTTTGGGGGCGGTTCGCTTTTGAGTTCGTTGTTCCGGTTCGACCCCCGACATTTATCTGGACAGGAGTTACGCCCCATGCGTAGGCTCCGAATGGACTTTTCCTTAGTGGCCCATGGTAATTGTCTTTACGTCTTTGGGGGATCTACCGAGCAGTTCACCATAATGGACTCTGTTGAATGTTATAATGTCGAGACTAATTCGTGGGTAGAACTTCCGTCCCTACCGGTCGCTCTACACTCCCTCGGGGCTCTGACCGTGGAAAATAAAATCTACCTCTCGGGCGGCGTGTCCGGCCAGGATCGCCAACCCACAAATTCCTTTACCCTCTTTCATCCTCACTACCGAACATATGAGTCCCTTCCGGGAATGTTTTACGCCAGAAGACTGCACGAGATGGTGTTTTTTCAGAAGAAAGTGTTCGTCTTAGGCGGGATTCCTCGTCAAGGTGTGCCTCTCCATGGGCAAATCCCGATCGAGTGTTATGACGTCAGTACGACCCAGTGGACTATGCTTTCCTCGACCCTGAGTGGTCGATCCGTTGGTCACTACCTCAGCTTTCGCGGGCAGATTCTCTCTCTTGGACATGAACATCATAACGCTAAGGAAGACGAAATCTGGACATATGACCCGGCACTCGATGACTGGACGAAATACGCCAAAACTCCACAGCGAATGAGTCTTATGTCGGCCATTTGTTCTGCCATCTTTGTTAACTATTACGACGAAAAAGTGGCGAAAACATTTCTGAGAGACAAATAAAATTAAAACAAATTGTTGTTAAAATTAAAAACGTTAAAATTCTTTTCCTGAGTGTGAACATTTTTGTACATTCAGCCATTCATGTCACCACTTTTAATTTTATGTATTTCTAAACATCAACGAAGGTAATTCCAGAAAATTTACAGAAGGGAGTTAGGGAGTACAAGATCAAACCCGAAACCCCTCTCGTAAAAATTACCGGTAGATGTAATGAAATGAAGTTGTAAAGTAGCAGTCAAAAGTGAACAAATTTGATTGGACATGCCAGATTGAAGGCGCCCCGTTCAGAAGAAATTCTAGTTGAAGCACAAGAGCTTCCTCTTTTATTGGTTTACAGTTTGGATTTTAGTTCTACCGACTGTTTATTTAGCTCTCTTTGATAAATCTGTGATTCAGTTTAAAAATTCAACCCTAAATATTCGGTCTGATTTAGTTAAAACTTGGTATTCAAGTACACTGCATCCAATTACACATTGTATTTATCGGTGTTTGATACTGATTAAGCCTGCCATGGGTTCTAAAAATAGTATATGTAAATGATTGCAAAATGCTACTCTACCAAAAGGTTTGATCGGAGTGAAATTTGGTAAACTAGTAGACTGAATTAAGATACGTTCATAATTCTGTTCATTGGTATGTGTTTTTATTTCGATGAACAATGTTGCCATGGTAACTAAATGAAACATGAAGAAACGAACAGTAATCAAGCTCAACAGTCAATTGAAACTATACAAATTGTGAGCAGGGCAAACAAGGACCTCTAAAACAGAGGTGAGATCAATTGTAATGGAGGATTAAGCATCCCCTTTCGAACGGTCATACTCGCCATATGTTCTGTGTTATGATCTTTTAAATGGAAAAATCTGTAGGCAATGCAGTGAGTTGCTAAACCATTTGTATGAAAGACAATATGTCAGTCGACATTCCACCTTACGACAGATTATATTTGCAAGCAAGACAATTGCATCGCCCATAGATTTGGCAAAATATTGACCAGAAAAGATTGTAGATACACTTGTATGATCAGCTTGTTTGTCAGTAGCCTGTTTCGTTTAGGAATTGTACCTACGAAGAACTTGCTCTTGCGTATCGAATCAACTGGGAAACCCTATATACAGGTGATTATGGTATATTGCTACAGAGATAAGGGAAGTTGACGATTGAAAAGTCGACCGCGTGGCGCAGTAGTTAGAGCGTCTGTTCTAGAGTCGCGGAGTAAACAGTTGATCCTTACGTCGCGGGTTTTCGAATCCCCCTGTGGGACGTGGAGACCGGTCCTTCAGATGAGACCGTATAAACCAAGGTCCTGTGTCGCAGTAGGTGCTGGCACGAAAAAGATCCCTCACTGCTAAATGGCCCTAAGTGCAGAGTATAGGTCAAAACTTGCAGCTCCCCACCGGCAAGTGGTGGCGTCTCCATATGAGTGAAAAATTCTCGAGAGGGACGTAAAACAACAAACAAACAAACATTTATCAAAAGTTATGTTTATTTGCCATCAATGTCTTTCTGTAGTAAAATATATCCAAATATGAAGCAGTTGTCTCAGACCCCATGGTTTCTCTACAGATTCGTGAGAGATATCCGCTTCTGCAAGCCATTATTAAAAAGAAGTAACTTGGGGGTTTCGAAACAAGAATATAGTTGTGAATATATGTCACAGATAGTCGAGCGGATTTACTTTTTTTTACTTTACTAAATTTAAATATAACCCAAAAGCTTTGTCCAGATAATTTACATATTTAATTACAATAAATGTACAAATATACAAGATCCTTTGTTTGTCCTATAATGGGTTTTTGTCCTGCCGCCTTCCACTCCACAGTCTAGAGGAAGATCTCTAAGGCCTAAGGATGGCCTCTCTACTACTCCTTATGATGAGAGGGCGGACTCACTGAAGGCACTGGGTGGCCTCTCGACACAGTCTCTACATAGACTTTAAACTATGGATGGATGGAAGCTGCTCCAACATACACAAACAAAAATTTTACTAACAAGCTCTTGTGGCTTTACAAATACACACTTTACTCATTGATAATGTACATGTCTTAGATAAGACTCAATTACACACACATAAGTTGTTTAAATTATACATACAACTCGTACACAAATGCAATATTACGAATTGCTACTTTACGGACAAATTATTATGACGCAAATTGTACACCATACTTATGTATATTCAAATACGTGTTGCTATATATAGTAATCAAATTAAACAAAACATACTTGCTAAAACTGATGAAAAATGCGGTGACTGAGTGTTTTAGGACAAATGAATGATACAAGAAAATAACTAAGATAAAATTAAAAACATAAACCTTTCCTCAGAAAGCTGGACCATTACACACAAGAAATACAAAGTAAGCCCTGCAAGTAATACTGGTACTCGGTGTAACTATTAATGCTGGTTAGACATATCTGAGAGGGGGTAAAAGCGTCCTTCTCTCTGGACTTCGTGTCCAAAACTAACTTGCACGGACATGCTTTAAGGTCCAGTGAATTGAGGTTCAGTGAAGGATATGTACAGTAATAACATATTAAAAAAAGAAGGGGTTTCCCAAGGAATATTTACATGAAATTTAAAATGCATTAACAAAAGTATGATTAAATGATTTTAATGTGACAATATACCAGGAAACTGAATGCAAAAGGTACGCTAGACGTCAACCCCTCTCTCTCCCTCTCTCTCTCTCTCTCTCTCTCTCTCTCTCTCTCTCTCTCTGCAAAATGTATTTAATTCGGAAAAAGGATGGATGCAGGATCAGCCAATGACAAATTACCATGAGTTAAGATTATGAAACCCTTGTTGTGAATGAGAAATAATGCGAGAGGTGTTCAATAATTTATTTCATCGCTGTTAAAAAAATACACAAGAAAAATATTTTCATGAAGTGATTGAATGGTTCCCTTCAAAATACCCTCTTCTGACAGACACATAATCCATGCTTTGATGCATTCATTTAATACGGTATTCATGAACTGGTGTATGAGACATGCATGGCCGTAGGAACCGGATGGGGGTTGCACGGAGGAGGGGGGCGTGCCCCCCGCCAATAATTTTGCCGATATATTCAATACTATAGAAAATACGGCTACTATATGCTTGTGCCCCCCGCAATAATAACATCTGATGACCTTATTTTTTTTTTATGCTTGTCAAGGAAATTTGAATTTTTGGTAGTGCCCCCCCAAATGAAATTGCCTCCTACGGGCCTGTTACAGATCCCAAGGCATTCTTTGAACCAAATCTTCTTATTGACAATTTTTTTCTTAATTTGGGGACGAGAAAAAAGTCACATAGAAACAAATTTATTAAATATGGATGTTGGGATAAAACATAAACATCCTTATGTTTAGGCGTTGTTCTGAAGAATTGGAATGTGACAGATTCCAGACTTCGTAGCGTTTCTTAACTTTCTTCAGAACATAGTTTTCATACACATTTCCCGTGATTGATAGGGCTTTGGAACAGTAAGCTGAAATACAGGAACGACACTGTTAAAGACAATGCCTTAATATTATATTTTCTTAGTTCTTTGACATCGCTTTTGCGATAACACGGCCTTTTGCGTTTTTTAGTCAACCAAATCTTTTTATCAATTTTTCTCTTATTTCAAAAAATAATGTATCCGTGTTGCATCACCTGAGAAACGTCGTTTATCGCAGTTTTTGTAAAGAAGATAGGGCGAACAAAGCGAGCGAAATGCCTATAGAGCTACAAACATGAAGGTGAAAAATTAAATCTCAATTATACCAACATTTTCTTTGATATTTCATCTAACATTAATGTATACTTAATGCAAAATCACCAAAATTTGCAAAAACCTCGCAAAGATTTAACTGTTTGCCTACGAAATAGCATACACACACTAAAGATGGCTAAAGGACCATTTTCTCATACTATAATACAATTTTTTCGATATGAGTGGGTCTTCGCTCCATTTTTTTTTTTTTTTTTTTGAAAGTTTATCCCTAAAGTTTGCTTAAAAATATACATTTTTTGGTTAACAAAACCATTGAGCAAAGTCCATTTCAAGGGTCATATCACAAACATGATTAAAATACCACTATTTATTAGTAGCTGTGTAGGGTAGTGGTAAGCGTGTGTGTCTCAAAGGAAAATGATACTCAGGATTTTTATTGCTAGGATTCGAACCCCACGAATACCAATTAAAAAAAAAAAATCAGAATATTTTTTGCCGAGAAAATTTTCCCCTGAAAAGTTTTGTTTATCATAAATTCATAATTTTCAATAATGAGAACTTTACTCTGAATACTAAATTCACAAATTGAATAAGATTTTTATATTTTTGAAGCTATAGGCATTCTGCACGCCTTGTTCACCCATCTCCTTTTAAGACATTTCCACACAAATCATTTTTGTTTTCCTAGATCAGTTAAAGGATCAATCTTCTTTAAAGTGTGTCAGAGTGGTTTAAATAAACGAGTTTGTTGAAACGTATAACTTTTTCAGAAATGTTTGATTTTCATATAGAATGGGTGCAGACTCCTTTTTTTGAAACATAAAATAGATTTTACATTCTCTTTTCTGTCATTTAAACTTTAATGAAGAATGGAGACGACCCATTCATAGTCAAAGAATATTTTTTATGGCTCTTATAAACCCCTTTTTTCCACTAAATATGCTTAACTGTCAAATATAAAAACAAATTATTAATTTAAAAGTCGTTCAATAAAATAAATGAATCAAATGTGTTGATACTAACATTACTGAAAACATAATTTTAGAAAAATATAACTTTTCCGTAAACTTTGAAATTTACAAAATATACTCTCTCAGAGCGGGGCATTGTTCTCGTCTTATACGCCCTCTTTCTTTCAATTATTATGATTATACACCTATCGTCTTTTTCAAGAAATTGAGGCAACAATGCCCTCACCATGTATTATAACAGATTAAGGACAGAATACTCAAAAAGTTATAGGAATTTGTAAAATACTTTGTACTGGCTTAATTATTGCTGAAACATATTTATCACGAAATTTTCCTGTCCAATCAGCCCTTTTTCAGTCTTTCCAAA